AGTCAGACATCATGTTGAAAATACTGGAATAGAGTTACCATGGACTGAAAATGATTGAAAGAGTATAGCAAGGGCCAAATGGGGACAAGTAAGGAGAGGAGAGGAGGGGAATAGGGTGTGTGTGTGTGTGTGTGTGTGTGTGTGTGTGTGTGTGTGTAAGAGAGACAGAGACGGAGGGAGGGAAGGAGGAAGGGAGGTGAGTGTGTGGTGGAGGAGGAGAGGAAGAGAGTTGCATGCTAACACTAATTCTAAGCTAAGACCGTTTCCATGGCTAGAAGATGAACAGATATGATATTTGTAGCAGGGAGAACAACTCTCCACCCACTCCCATACCCCACCCAGGTTGGATCTGAATAGTGCTTTTTGTCCATCTCTAGCTTATTTTCCACAAAAGAGCTAGAGTAATATTTCTTAAACATAAATTCAATTATTTAATAGCTCTGCTTAAAGTCCCTCTGTGAATTCCCACTGCACTCAGAATAATACCCAAACTCCTACTAAAACCTGCCAAGCCCTACATAATCTGTCCCTGCGCACCTTTAACTCCATTCTCTGCACCACAACACTCTGACTTCTCTACTCTTATAAGCTGAGACTTTTCCTGCTACAGGGCCATTGTACATGCTACTTCTTTTGAGAGAATATTCTTCCCAACACACTTCAGTACTTAAATATGATCTCATCAAAAAGGCCTTCCCCAACCACCTTATCTTAAGTGACTTTCCCTTGTTGTCTATCATTTCACCACTTTATTCTCTTCTTAGTGCTAATTGTAATTGTAATTTTGCATCTTGTTTGCTCATTTGTGTCTTTTTCACTAGATTGTAAGCTTCATGAGGGTAGGAACCATATCTGCTTGCTATGTCTAGTAACAAGGGACTCAGGCCTCCTTACAGTGTTCCGGGTGGCAAAGACACTACTTAAGAATGGATCTTATCTGAGATAAAGAAAAGCAGTCGGTGCTTGCAATGCTTTGATGAGGTCTTCATATAGTCAGATGTGACTAGGGGGTCAGTGAGCTCTGTTGCAATAAAAATGAGTATTACTAGTAATTATCTCTTTAAAAAGGTGGATGTGTAGGCACAGTTTTGAAGTAGAAGGATGAGCATGGAGAAACTACTGTACTCTGCTTACCATTGAAGGCAGGGTTAAATTGAGGTAAATGGACTTTGAAAATTGAGGTATGGTCTCTAAACATTGAGCACTGTTGTTTACTCATGGGAGGGCTGTATGTTTGTGGAAGAAAGTGTATGTGTTTGAGTTTCTGTGTGTCTAAGTCTGTATATACGCACACAGACACATGTGGGATTTAAGAGCTGCCCACTGGATAACCAGAAGAGAGAGAAGCACAACTGTTCTCTCACAGATGGAGAGATTCTGAAGAGAACTGGTCCTAGGAGACGCTGAGCTTCCCCCACAGCCTTCCCTCCAATACCCACCCACACTCACCCCCTCCACACACACGCTTTGAGCATTCTATCCTGAGTAACTCAGGTTCTGGGAAATGTGGTACTAAAGGCTTGAGTCTGTACGTTGTAGCAACTGGGATGGAACCTAGGGGACTTTCAAAAGCAGGGTGAGACCTGGCAGTGACTTGAAATGGCAGCCTTTCAAACAGGAAAAGGCAGACTTCAAACAGAGCCAATTCTAGAAACTGGCATTTCTCCCTGAAAATGTTTTTTCTTTCTTTTTTTTTTGTTTTTAGATTTTATTTATTTATTTATTTATTTATTTATTTATTTGAAAGAGAGAGAGAGAGTGAGAGTGAGCAGGGGGAGAGCAGAAGCGGGGGAAGAGGCAGGAGAGGAAAGAATCTCAGGCAGACTCAATGTTGAGCACGGAGCCCAACACTGAACTCAATCTCATGACCTGAGCTAAAGCCAAGAGTCTGAGGCTTAACCAATTGAGCCACGTAGGCACCTCAAGAATGATCAATTTTTTTAGTCGTGCTACTGTTTCCTTTGGGTTGCGAGAATAGTCTGGTCTACTAATACAGTGTAAAATATTTTCTCTCATTTTATAAATCCCTCAGTTAACTCCCCAGTCCTCTAATGTCATCTGGTGTATGCACATGGTCTTATGAAAGTGGTGTGGTGAGGAAGAAAGGATGTGACCTTCCTCACGTCCCTATTATACCGAGCCCAGCATGATAGCAAGTTTTCCACTGAGGAGGGGGCCTGAAGTTCAGACTCCTGCAGAAAAGTGAGTAGGTTTGTGGTGGGGGGGTTGCCATGAGCTGCACATGGAAGGAGAACTTAGCTTGGAGAAACAGCAGTTGCTTAGGCAGTGGACGAGAGATAAGACCTCTTATCTCCACAGATACACTAGAACAATATATGTGACCCTTCCTTTGCCACCCTGTGTCCCACTGATCATAAGCATCACGCAGGGTTCTTGTTACAAATACCAATTCTCTGGTTCCACTCCTGAGGTCTGGAATATTTTCTAAGCATCCAAGTGAATCTGATTAGGGAAGTGTGGAATTCAGTGCCTCAAGGCTAGGGGACTTTTGTAGGGGTGGAGGAAGGCTGACATTGTGGTCACTCATTATTGACCCTGCTTCAGAGAGGACGTGTAGAAAAAGTGATGAAAAATCCTCCCTAGGAAAGAATACTGTGTACCAACTTACTGAAGACAGTAAGAGAAGAACCAGGCTTTCAGTGGGCTCTACTTCTTTATTTATAAACCAGTCTTCTAACCTTTCTGAACTTCTTAGACAACACAAATTCATCTCAAATTGTGCAATCTGTTACCTTGGCAAAACTGACAAGTCCTAATTTTCATTCGTAAATGTTGCTTCTAATTATTTTACTTAACCTGGAGAGCAAGAACCATTGTGGCAGTGGGTGTGGGCAGGGATAGGCCTGCAGATATTTTTTTAAAGCAGTTTTACTTTCAGAAGGAAAGAGTATGAAGTTACCCCTTAGAACAGATCATACTCAGATTGTTCTATTGTATGGCAAACTTTTTCCTTTATTATTATTTTTAAATCACTTTCTTCCTCAATAACTAAAGTAGCACAAAATTAATAAAAAAGCAAAATTGATAACACTGATGCCTCTACAATCCTGTAGCTTCCACACAACTTTTAATTGGGAGTATGTGAGAAAATATATATACATTAGTACACACACATACAAACACATATTGAGAGACTGCTGATAATGATCTAAAATAGTGGAATTCTTCTAGTCCAAAATTTACACTACATAATAATACTGCAACACACTGCCATGCTTTAAATGGCAGCAGAGGCAAATTTTTCACTAATTGCACATTTTAGGACAGTAACTCTGTGTAGGTCTTATAGTGTCTGGGGATGTTTTTGATATAAATAGGTCAATGTGGTCTGACTTAAGTGAGGCTTATGGATTAAAAAAGAAAAGAAACCTTCAGATCCTCATTACCAGTCCTCATCTCTCTTAGAATTTTAGAATGACGAAGATAGACCTTGTAAAAATGGTGGATCTTTATCCCAATTGGGTTACTAGAGGGTATCACCTGCGCAGTCAACCAAAGCGTCTATTGAAGCTCCACTATTTAAGATTAGAAAATATTTGAACAAGAAATGATCCATTTGCCATGGGAAGATAGGGAATGTTGATGCAGTGGGCTCTGTAGGCTAAAGAAGTTGTGTTTATGCTGTGGGCCATTTGTTTTTAAAATTAAATGACAATTCTTACTCTGAAGAAGTTGTAGTTCGCTTTGTTTTGTTTTTAGGGGAAGCTTGATTTTTTCCATTTTCCAAGTCTGTGCTCACACGTATGCCTCATTTCATGGATAAAGACCCCAAGTTCAGTGCTTGGGTGACCACAGTATCATGGCTCCCAGGACCACTAATCTCCCAGCAGTGACGTAACTTGAATGTCCACAGTTTTTAATAAAAACCCACATCTTGGAATGCTAATGCAAAGTATTATGTTAACATAGAACAACTAATTCTCAGAGATCTGTAACATTCATGGAGTCTATAATAACATGTATATTAGCAATTTAGTCTCTTTAAGTTTTGCAACCTAATGTGGGTGAGCAAACATCTGATATCTGGGAGCCTTAACAAAATTCTGTGCTAAAATTATAAGACTATGAAACTGAATAAAGGAACATGCTTACATGACTGCTAGGAGTTATTACTGCCGAAAACAGAACTAAGTGAATATTTTCCATATGCTAATTTCCACTAACAGAAAGTATAGATATAAAATAAAAACCTCTCGCTGTCTCTTAGGATGTTTCTCTTGGTAACAGCAATTATCACAAAGAATTCTACAACAGTAGTGGTATTATGACTATAACATAAATAGAAAAAAAAAAACCAAGAGGCAAAAATATATTACAGACTGCATCATAACACATATTTGTCTTGCTATTAAAAGTTAAATTCTTCCAGTACTTTTCCATGATGACTTAATTCATCAATAAATGTGATTCCCATTTGTTAAAGTGAAAACAAAACATTAAGCATATTTTGCCTCCGGTTTTAGGAATGTTCTACATTAAATCTAAATTGACTTTTTTTTTTAATTTGGTGTTTCCACTTTATCTTTTAAATATGGAGAATATCTTCTAAGTAGTTCAGACTTAATTTTGCCAGTTTCTTCTAGCTCAGTTAGTTTCACGGTTTTGTAAGAGAAATGAAGCGCAAGAGTCCATATCCAGCACCCACCATGAGGCCGCCTCAGATGAGTTCTGCCTCAGGTGTCCAGCAGAGTGAAATGAACTGATCCACCTTGAAGAAGTCTGCTCCGATCTGTCAGGTGGTTTGTGTGAAATTCTGCCCCTCGAGGTTTGCACACATTTTCTCTGAGTCAGCGTCAACTCCTACATTCACAAATGAAAAGCATCATGAATGGAACAAGAAATGAGGGGTGAAGGAGGAGAAACAGGTCTAATTGGTTGGAAAAGAAAGGGGTTATTTCTTTCATGAAGCAACTCGTTCATGTGACACTTCCTGCAAGGGAAAACCTAGGCTGCTGTACCATTCAGGCATTCTTCCATCTTCATGAGGAAAGGTTTGAGAAAGTGGACCTTTGAGAGGAAATACTACAGACCTCCAAATTGGTGAAAGAACTTCCAGCATCGCTTGGATACTCCGGGTAGGAGGAACTGGAGGAGATGATATTTTTGAGCCTCTGGAGGGCAATGATTAAAAGCAGAAGCAGAAATGCTAGAAGGCTGAGGAATATGGACACATAGATGTAGACATTTGAGAGGTGACCTGAGGAAGGGTCCACTGACGTGGACAGGGATGTGGGAAATAGCTCAAGGAAAGTTCCATTTTCCACGTTACCCGAAAATACAGATGAAGAGTCAGGTTCAGACATCTTTATGGAGGGTCAAAGAATGCACAAGTATGTTAAAAGTCTGTTACACAGGGGTTAAAAAGGACAGAATCAGCATTTTTTTTTTTTTTTTATGATAGCATCAGCAAAGATTGTAGGAAGTTAAATCAGCACAACAAACTTCTTGGTTTTCAGACAAAGGCAGCAGGGGATCAGGTGTCCTCTGGCACTGCAAAAACAAACAAACAAACAACAAAAAAACAGCTGAGTGCATTATTCACAAAATAATCACATTTAAACCTGATTTCTAGTTTTCACTTGAAGAAGGGAAGGGAACGAAATTACTTCTCCAGAAATAGATAATGTTTATGTCATTATATTACAAATGATGATATAAAAATGAACTTTTATTTTACCTCCACAGTACCTAAGATGCCAGGATTCTCCAAGGAACTAAAATAAATAAAAAGGAAAATACATTTCTGATGTGCTCCATCTGCTGTGATTTCAACAGATGCTCCAAGTGGATGCTCTGAGAATAGGACCCAAAAAGCCATCACCAAACCTCCCTTCTCCAGAAATTTAACTCTGCGCACCTCCAGTCCACTAGCAGTATTTATTTCTACCACTTTGAAGAATCACGCCACACATGTAAGTTTGCTTTTTCTTGAACCTTTATAATCTGATTTGTTTCTAGAAATCCATTTCCTTGAAATAAGGGGCCATTTCTTCATGTTTCTTCTTTTTGATCTACCTGTGTACCTTGTTCTGCATACTTTAGTACTGAATAAAAAACTTCAGATTAATTTGGAAGAAAAAAATTGGATTCCCTTTAAGTGGTAGAAAGTACAAGGTTTGCTGTCAAGAGATGTAGGTTTGAGGGAGGCTTGAATTCCCCCTTTAGCTTTCAGGTGTTGGGCAAATGACCTACATTATTCTGAGTTTCACTTTTCTCATCTATAAAATGTATGGCTTGCCCCATTCCCTCTCTGTGTTATTCAGGGATCAAGAAAATAGGCATGGAAGCACTTTGTGAATTGTAAAGGTTTGGGCCAAAATAAAGGTTATAGTGTGTGTATGTGTGTTAATGGGAGTGGAGAAGGAATAATTTTCTCTCAGCCAGGAGGCAAAGAATGATCTTTACCATATTCTCTCTCCTAATGTGGTCCCTGTGAGAAACACCAGAAGTAAAGCAGACTGACAGGCAGGTAGCAAGCCGGACACCACATGGCTCACCACACTCTCCAAGTGTGGGTGCAGTGTGTCTCAGACACCCTCTCCTTCATCACTGGAAAAGTCATAGCCAGTTTCTGCCTGGCTTCCAGCCCACTAAGTCCACGTGGTGGTGAGGAATGCAGCCTGAGGGAGGATGATCCCTTGGGGCAGATGACTCTTCAAGTCCAGAAAAGATGCTCTTCCTAGATCTTTATGGCATTCAATCCATTTGCTGTAAATTTTTAAATCTCCTTGTGTCAGATGTAGTGAAATGCTAATGTGAAAAGATTCCCTCTGCCCCTGGCTCTCCCTTTCCCCCCAACTCTGCCCTGCATTTTATCTTGAAAACTTGCCTTTCCCTTCTGTTCTCCAGATCTAATTAAGTGGCTGACTCTTTGAGGGGCTGACATTGGCCGCTGTGGTTGGAGCTGAGCAGTCTTAATGATCCCTGAGAAGGGGGGACACTTCTGCAATGGCTGTCCCTGCTGGGTGTCATGCAGGCTAATGATCCTAGTGAGTTCCTCTGAGTAGGCCACATACAGTGTCTTAGTAGTTCCTAAAATAATTTGACTCCTACTCCTCATTATGCTTTGCTTGGTGATTTTAATTCCATTAGGCTGCTACAGGCTCCTAACAAACCTTAAAAAAAGAGAGAGAGAATCACATTGGGACTCAAATGTGTCACACTGATTTGGCAATCCTTTGCCTTTTTATAGCATTTAAATGTCTTAGCCATTCATCTTTAGGGAAAATAGAGTTTCAGAGGCAGCATGATGTATAGGAAAGAAAACTAGGATAGAAACATTATGGGCTGAATAGAAAAAATATTCTTTGTTTTGGTAAGACCTCCTAAGTCTAGCTGAGGAGATGGAGAGACAAAAAATCCAATTGATTTGACAAAAGAAATATCTCATTAGAAGATAAGCCAGGATTTGGGGCTTCTGCTCATCCTAACTCCTTATACCATCTGGTCTCAATTTTCCCATTATTTGAGTAGTAAGGATTTTACATCTTCTTTTCCTAGCATGGGTAAAGAAGGGACAATGCATTTTGTGTGTTCCTCACAGCTCCTTGGTAGAGCAGGAATTATTATTCTCACTTGAGGGAACTAAGCCACAAAGACATGATTTACTCAGGGTCACAGCTAGACAGTGACAGAGGAGGGACTAGACTACATGCCTCAACTGTGTTCTTAGTTTTCTCAACTGTGATGGGAAGAGGAAAATTATGAAGACTTGCACATTAGTTCCTATCTGCTACCTACTCTGGGCTAGCTCACAATTTAGTCTTGATTTTTCAGTCTTCCTATTTGTGCAGTAACATTTACCTTCCCTACTTTGCTAAGAGGTCCTGAGCTAGTCCGTAAGAACATTTCCATAAGCATCCTTCGAAAATTATAAAAGGCCAGCCCAAGTAAAGTACCAGTAGACAAGTTCCTTCTCAATGCCTAGATAGGCCAGAAGAACTTTCCAAGTCTCTGCTAGTCCTACAGTCTGGCATGTACAGGTGACAGATTCAGCTGGAATTGGATTCATTACCCAAATCTGTCATTTTCTGGGGTAGAGCTGGAGGCACAGACAATGTCACTAGAGTATCAGCAATTTAGCAGCTACCAGAAGACTTGTTAAAACAAAAGCATTTCTTTACATATAAATGTTCCAAGAACACTTTTCACATTCTGAAGATCTCCTTCTTTCAGACCAAAGGCCCATTGCTGAGCCTCAATGGTCTATGGAATAGTTTACAGGAAATGAGATTTAAGAAGATTTGGGGAAAAGATCTGATCTTCTAAGTCATCTTGGAAGAATGGTGGAAATGAACAAACGAAAGCTCATGTCATTATTTGACATTTCTCAATTAAATAATTTAAATATTCTTCCAATATTTCAGATTTAATATCATTTCCAGAATATGTTGTAATTTTAAATGACAGATAGGCAAATCTAATTTCACTGTTCTACTTTGAAACAACAGAATATATGCACTGTTAGAAATCATCTTAATTTGATGGCATTAATTCTCACTTTCTTATTGAATTTTTAAAAATTGATAAATCCTCTTTCTCTCTGGTGAACTTTTTGACAGTCTGTGTATAATGCTCAGGATGAGGCCAGTTGTATGTGTTCAGGACTTGTGACCATGTGAATGAGGCCAAAAGTGGCGCTGTGAAAATGAAATCAAACGGGTGTGTTTCAAGATGATGCTTCTTGGGCCGTTTCTCCAAACAGATTAGGTTTAAAGAAAAGAAGAGAGAGACTTCATCTTAAATGCATAGCCTTGACCTGTCTCAGGGCAGCATCAGTGTACTGTCATTTGGGGCACCTAAAGTCACATGGGCATGATGATTCTTTTTTCTGAACCATCCTCAGAAAGTGATTTTTGACAAAGGAAAATGAGACAGCTGGATCACAACATTATAAGTGAAGATCTGTATAAATGTTTTGGTTCCGGGTCAGCCACTTTCCCTTTGTGTCTCAGCACAAAAACCTGTGCTGGGAAGAAATCTACAAAAGGCAGTCACCATTGAAGTGAGGAAGAGGGGACCTATAAGGTGTCCATGAGCCCAGTGAGGTGGGGAGATGAATAGACAGTATAGAGGCAAACCTGGGGGTCTCTGGTTCCATGATACTCAGCAGCATGCCTCTATGACTCTTTTGGAAGAATGGAAGCTTTCATTCCCATGGGCTGATTATAAGAATTGTAAGTTTTAGAAGAATAAAAGCATACTCTCTGACGTGTACTTTCATGCCTGGTAAAAAGAAAAAGAGCTGACAGACCCCCATCTCTGAGTCTGCTCACACAAGCCCTACAAGACCTCTGGTGGCCAGTGTGTGGGCAGAGCCTTTGACTTCTATAAAATAATGGTGTATAAAACTCAGCCTACAGTCAGCCTCAAATCTGGCACAGCAATTTCTGAGTTTCTGACCTTTATTCAAAAACGTTTCTATGTGAATAACAACTATTTGAAAGGTTTTTTGTTGTGGGAAACTGGGTAAGTTGCTTTGTTGCCTTATAGACATAAAGAGTGCCCTGGCTGTTAGGATGTTGCGCCAACATTTTATCATTATAAAGTCCTGCCATGTCATTCTCCAAAAAGGCCGTTGTCCCAGACCATCAGACCATTTGAAAGATAAAGTATTAACACGACATGGTAAAATGTTTGTTTTTGTCTATGAACATAAAATTTGATATTAAAATGTAATGATATATTCTTTCTCTGTAGAACACATAGAAATTAACACTTCCAAAATCTAGTAGGGACCTTGTCACATTTAAGCAAAGCTGTTTTTAGTTCTACTTAGGAAATAGTATGCTTTATATGAGATCTCGAGCCACTCCTTTACCGTTTGCACAATTATCTTCGCTCTTAATGCTTTTTCTTTGGCTGAGGAGAGAAGGTTGGTGCTGACATACATGCTTCCCACAATTTCTAAATGTAGATTGTCATTTGGAGTAAATGGCAAATACTTACCCAGTGGGCTTACAATATTGAAAATAAAGTTTACTATCTTATGTGCTATCCTTATTCAAAGATGATTCAACCATCCATATATTTGAAAACTGCTCTTACTTATTAATGCATTAAGAGGGTAGAACTATATGTGAATTCTGTTTCTTAGTCCCTATAAGAGTCCAATAAAAAAAATCAAGTAAGGAAATAAACTGAGTCTATCTATTATTAAATATTGAATAGAGTACCATCTTAGAGAAGAAATATAGAAGATGAAGAGTCTGAATAATAAACTAGAATTCATGGATCTAAACTGGATAATGTAAGACAAAAAATTAAAATTAACAGTTGTCTTTACCCACTGTTCAAATGAATG